CACAGTGTCATTTGTTCCTTTCTGTAGCGTCCATGTCTAACACGCTGCTTTCATTTTTCAGCTCGAATCACAAACTGGACTCTTCTTTTCCTCAAGACCCTCTTATTCCAATGCTTCTGAAGTGCAGAAGTGACATTATTACGAATGTGACCAGCTGTTCTAGCTGTTCATGGTTAATAATGATTAATGAGAGAAAAATACAACTCCTTGCTTTAAGAGCAAGAGCCAACAACGTGCTCGCTCATTGAGTTGGGTACTTTCTGTGTTGCTTTTCCTCTGCTTCAAAGTTATCAGGACCCCTGAGAATGAGTTTAAATCAGTCAAGAAAACACTGATTCTAATACTGCGCTGTCATCTTGTGTGCAGAGATCTAAAACTTCTGCTTCTTGCTTATTGAGTTTGCTTGATTGAGGATCTGATCAGTCCTGATGTCGAACACCCACTGAGTCTCAGTAAACAGACCCTGCAGTACTCTAGGTGCCAGCTAAGTGTCTAACAAGTGCGCTATAAAGACAGGGACTACACTTTGCTTGCATCACGCACGGAATGGTGAGGCTGTGTGGTCTTTACACTGTTCTTCTTTTCTCTTATTGCAAGGACCTGCATTCCCACACTAACAAAAACAGCCAACAGAGTATGTCGTCTGTGTGATAATGTCACTCCTGTACTGCATGAATTTCCTTAGACACAGGCCATTGCTTTCTGATATTTTTCCGGAGTGGGTATTGATCGTGTATGAAAGATTATTTTAATAAAGAATATGTGACCTGCAAAGTCACAGTAAAGGTGGTATGGGGGAAAATTTTATAATATTTCTTTTATTAGAATACAATTAACTTCTCATTACCTTCTGTATGTCTTTTCTTATCATTCTTACAGCCATTTGTTTTAGGGAAACCCTTGTGTAAAATATGCTGTAAATAGCAGCTATTAGTATTTTAAAATAATACTAATAGAAATATCTAAGTTCTCTAATTGGTTATCTTCACTTAGGTAATGAACCAATCATCAGGTTCTAAGACTTCTTAGGCTGGATTTGACAGTCTTTACAGAGAGCTGATTTGGAAGCCTCACATATGCAAATGGTGACACTTTATTTTAGCTCCACATAAGAAACTTTGAATGCTTTCTCTTCACCTGCAGCCCTCTCATTTGTCTACAGTTTGTGGCATCTTTTCAACACAATATATTTTACCATGGACTGAAAGATCAAATGGTTTTGGCAAAAGATAAGGAGATCTTCTGGCCTGTAAGGGATCAAACTTACAACCGTGTGTCATGAATTGCTCTCATGCAGGCAAGCGCACCTGCATTCCCACAAGCTCATCCCATACCAAACGTGCATGTACCAATCTCTCCTCTATTTAAACCCTCACCAGACCCTCTTTCAGTGCTCACGATTGAGATTTTCTCCCGGAGCTTCGTTTCTACTTACTCATTCTGCGACTCTACTGTGTTACTCCTGGATCTTGACCCTGCTGTTCTTCGACTACACCTTTGCCTTCTGACTTTGTACCTACGCCCTTACTACGCTCTCTTGGATACCGAACCTGCCTGCTTCCTCGACTATGCCTTTGCCTTCTGATTCAACATCAAAGCTACTACAACACCTTCCCGGATTCTGAACCCCGCCTGCTTCCTCGTCTACACCTTCGGCTATCGCTTAGGCTACCGAAGAGCACCGCATAGGATCCCAATCCCACACAGTCAGCCCCGCCTTGACACCGTGGAATTATTAGCACGACAATCGATCCAACTGAGCTACCTGATCACATACATGTGAGGTTCTTTGTGCAGCATAAAATGTAATTTAGTGAATTTGTTTTTCCCTCTTTGAATTGAAACCCTCACATTTATGTGTACTGGGTTTCTGGAAGTGGTGGATATGATGTAGAAGAGATCAGCCTCTGTGATGCAATATCAAGTGACACTGACCTTCTGTCTTACTGTTCTGCATTTTAACCTACTGGGGAAATACTGGTATCCATGCATGTAAGGTTTCCTCCTTGTCAAATTATTTTCCAGCACATTTTTGTTGTTGAAAATCAACCTTGTGGATTTCCATGTTGTGTCCCTCTTCTGTTAGTGTCACCCAAATTGATACATTGTGCTCTGGCGATTCTTCAGATCCTACCATTTTGTACAATATTGTATCAGTATTGTAGAACTCATCATTAAAGAAAATAAGGCTTTTTTGTATATTTTATTATAATTGTATTTATGTGGAAATATGTTATTTTAATAACTACATGTAAATTTGAAAAAAAATATATCCCCCCCCCCTAAAAGCAGGCAGCCTAACATTTTCAGCAGACAAAATATTATATGAATTTTTAAAGATCCAGACTGAAAGTTTATAGAATATTGTTTTAAACTATATGCTGCTGTTTTGGAAGTATACTTATTTTACAGGTGACACTGTGGTTAACAATGCTACCATGCAGACCTGTTGTTCTATCTGTGTGGAGTTTGTATGTTCTCCCCATGTTTGTTTGGAGTTTCCGCCAGGTGCTGCAGTTTCCTCCCACAGCCCAAAAACATTGTGATATCATTTGAGGAAGTGAATTTCTTGATCATGAGTTTTCTAATGTCATTTTGTCACACCTGTCAAAGTGTGTATTGTTTGAACTTTCATCTTTCCTGTCATTTGAACCCAGATGCCTTTGTAACTGTCTGTAGCTATAACATTTCTGCAGTTCTAGGTCTAGAGATGCTGTATATTTCAACAAGCCGTCCCTTCTTGCAGGACAAGGACCCATAATTTCTCTTGATTTGTAGGGAAATGTACATAACACTCAGGATGTCTCATGTTGTGTCTGGATTTGTCCACAGTGGCTTTTCTCCTTTGTGTGGTTCAATGTATACATATTGATAACAAACATTTAAGTTTCCCTTTCCCTTGGGGTTGATATTTTCATTGTGAGTTGCCAAGAGCTCCTTCATTTTTAATTGATAGTTTTAATATCATAAATTAGACATTATAAGCACATATAAAATGGTTCTAAAAAGTTTGTTGCAAAAAAACTTCAATAAAATGTATAAAAAAGTGTTCCCATCAAAACTGTTACATTCAGAATTTACATCAATGAATGGCTTCATTTCTTATTTCTGAAACATCAAATTGTAGAAAGAATTTGGAAAAGAAATGGGATGTTCAAGCCTCCCTTTTGTAGAACACAAGGTGCAGATACAGACATTGAGGAGAGTGTGGAAACAATGGAGTGAAGTGGACTCAGGTCACAGTGTCAGTGTGGAAACAGTGGAGTGAAGTGGACTCAGGTCACAGTATCAGTGTGGAAACAGTGGAGTGAAGTGGACTCAGGTCACAGACAGTGTCAGTGTGGAAACAGTGGAGTGCAGTGGACTCATGTCTCAGGACTCAGGTCACAGTGTCAATGTGGATCCCATCCCTGAACTACCTCACCCACACTGAGTCCCCTGTCTGTAGTCCCCTTTACCTGAAGTGGGGTCTCCCTCACTGTCCACTGCATCTCTGTATCCAGAGGGCGTCTCATCAGAGAGGAGTCTCCCTGTGAACAGACGAGCAGGTCAGTAATGGCTCTGACACAGATTGGCCTGTCAGATACCTCTTCTCTCCCAGTCAGTATTTATTTGCTGGTGTGAAATTAGGTTGAAACTAATGACAAAGGTTAATCCAGGTTGGTACAGGGTGTACTCCTGCATCTTATTTACAATAACTCACCTGACAGCGTCTGGACTCTGGGGCACACTCTTTTTCCAAAACTCTCCTCCTCTCCATCTTCTCCTTCAATCGTTGCTTCTCCAAAACTCTCCTCCTTTCCTCCTCCTTCTTCATCTGTTTCTTTACCTCCTTTTCACAAACTCTCCTCCTCTCCTTCTCCTCTTTTGCTTGTTTCTTCTCCTGCTTCTCCAACAGTTTCCTCCTCTCCTTCGCTTGTTTCCTCTCCTCCTCTTCCCAAAATCTCCTTCTCTCCTTCTCCTCCTTTGCTCGTTTCTTATTCTCCTCCTTCAGCTGCTTCCTCCTCTCCTCCTCCTGAGCTCACCTCCATTCCTCCTTCTCCTTCTGCCTCCTCTCCTCCTCCTGCTGCAGGCGTTTCTCCAGCCCCCGAGCGTAGGCCTTCCACCTCTTCTGCTCCTTCTTCTCCCATCTCACCTCCTGCTCCGCTGCTCCCTCCTGTTCTCCTCCGCCTCCTCTCCTCCTTGTCCACAATCCTCCTCATCGCATCTGCTGCCTTGGTGCATCTCCTCTCCAGCTTCTCCTCAGTCTTCCTCCTCTGCTCCTCCTCCTTCTCCCGTCTCCTCTCCTGTTTCTCAAACACCTTCCTCCTCTCCTCCTCCTTCTCCCGTCTCCTCTTCTCCTTCTCCAGCACCTTCTTCCTGTCCTCCCCCTCCTTCTCCTATCTCCTCTCCTGTTTCTCAAACACCTTCCTCCTCTTTTCCTCCACCTTCATCCTCTCCTCCTCCAGCTTCCTCCTCTCCTTCTCCTCCTGCACCTCCTGTCTCCGTTCCATCAACCACCCTTCCTGCTTCCGCCTCCTCTCCTCATCCCCCCCTGGGTGTTCAGGGACCGGTGCCTCCTGACCCAGACACTCATGACTTTCTCTGGTGCCGCTGTCCTCTTGCCCCCTTGTGGCTCCTTCCTTCTCTTCAGCTCTGTAGTGTTGTTCTTATAACTCATCGACCCTGGAACAGCACAGCATCCTGGTGAAGGAATGGGAGGAGCTGACCTGCTTAGAGAGAGGAGTTAATACAGACACACTGACTGGACACTCCAGTACATTAACACTGTACTGAGAGAGAGGGGTTAATACAGACACACTGACTGGACACTCCAGTACATTAACACTGCACTGAGAGAGAGAGGGGTTCATACAG